TAGCTGTGATGTCATGTTATCCCTTCCCCCAGGAGCAGCGAGTCCTCCCTGATCTGTGACAGCCTCCTCACTGGCTGCAGCATCTACTGATCATGGACTCCAGCTGTCAGTACCCACACCAAGCCTTCCCTATCTTCCCCAAATTGGGTTTGATCTCCCAGCTACATACTTTCTTAGCCTAGTAACATAGAGCTATTCAAGGCCTGTCCTGTCCATGTCTGAGCACCAGCAATCTGCAGAGTGCTACTAGGATATTAGCACAGCATCCCGAGAGAACCCACAGATATCTGAGGAATGTAGTCAGGCATGGTGGTGCACACCTATAATCCCAGCAGTCTTGGAAACTGAAGCAGGAGGATCTCAAATTCAAACCTAGCCTGGACAACTTAGTGACTTAAAGTCTAGGGAGGTAGCTTAGTGGGAAGGCCCTGGATTTGATCCCCAATACTGCAAAACAGACAAAAAGATATCTGAAGAATGGATGAAGGAACAAGCATACATACACCCAGGCTGGGCAGGGCCAGAAGCAATTAGACTTGGGGCATTGTTAGAAAGAAGATCAGAAGAGCTTGATTCCAGAGAAGCTTTGTCAGAAGCCCTGATAACTTTATCCACTTAGGTGTCTCCTCATACCAAAGACTGGACTAATCCTGAGATTACAACCATCCATGAGGTCAATCCCAAATCCAGCCCTAAAACACACAATATAGGGAATACTTCGGCATGGCGCAGTTCATTAGGAACCCCAAGACAGCATGCAACCTCCGAGTCCACTGTGACCATGTGTCCTACTGCCTGGGATCACCCAGTGTTATGGTTTGTGTTTAGATGTCCCCTGAAAGCCTCATGCAGTCAGAAGTGGGGCTTTTTCTGAGGTAGCTGGATCTAGAGTGTGTGGCCCTGGGATTGATTCATGGTGCAATGCTAGACTCAAGGACCCTAGGATTAAGGGTGTGAGTGCTACCCACCCTAAATAGTCTGGATAAGATAATAGGGCCATGAAGACCCAGTTAAGGTTGCTTGTTGGTTCCCTTGCTTGCTTGCTTTTGCTGTCCCTGCTTGCCATGAACTGCTTCTCTTCTGTGATATCCTCTCCCATGCCACTCTGCCTTGGAGCCAGCCAATTATGGACTGACACCTGTACAAACTGTGAGCTAAATAAAACTTTCCTCCTTTAGCTTTAAGTGCTGAGTATTTTGTCTCAGCAATGAGAGAAAGGTAACTAAGATACCCAGGAACACTCAGATTGCTCCCCAGAAAGAGACCCAGCTATTTAAAGGGCTAGCACCCATGAAGGTATACAAGTAATCGAGAAAAAAAGTCTTGAAATCCTTCTGCACTGCTGGTAAGAAGACAAAATGGTATCCACTATGGAAAACAGTCTGGAGGTTCCTCAAAACACAGAACTACCACCAGATACAGGAGTGCACACTCAGAGTCCTAGCAACTAGGGAGGCTGAGGCAGAAGAATTGCTTGAGCCCAGGAATTTGAGATTGGCCTGGGCAACACAGCAAGATCCTAGCTTAAAACAAAAAAGGTCCAGCAATCTAATTTCTGGACATATATCCAAACAAAAATTCAAAGCAGGGGCTCAAAGAGATATGTGCACATCCATGTCCATACCAGCACAATTCATATTAGCCAAGAAGTACAAGCAACTCAAATACCCACAGATAGAGGAATACATAGAGCAACTATACATATACATATACAATGGAATGCTATGCTGCGCTCAAAAGGAAGGAAATACTGTTACTTGCACCTGGATAAACTTTGAGGCCATTATGATAAGTGAATTAAGCCAATCACAAAAGGACAAGTAGTATGGTACTCTCATACAAGATATCTAAAGTAGTCGAAATCATAGAAATAGAAAGTTTCTTTCGCCCCAAGGGCCACAGGAGAAAGAAATATATTTAATAGGAGCAGAGTTTCAGTTCTGCAACATAAGGCATTCTAGAGATCTGCTGTAAGAATGAGAATATACTTAACATTACTGAACTGTACACTTTTTTAAAGTTAAAATTAATGTTATGCCTTTTTAACAACCATAAAGAAATCTTGACAGCACATTAAAAAAAAGAAACAGTTGCCCAAGACAGATACCATAAATTCAGAAAGAAAATCAGGAAAGTGAGAGACCAAATGAGAGATAAGGAGAGGGAAGAGCCAGCCGATCATTAAGTCCACATATGGAGCTGGGAGTCCACACCAGCTGTGGGGCTGGGAAAGGAACAGGAATGCATCCATCTGCCGGAGCTCCAAGGAGGAATGTGGGCCCCTGGGGCAGAGCCCTTCGCTCTCTGCCGGCTTCCCCCTGGGAGAGAGGTGGTCTTCACTACCACCTCTCAGCACAGCACCCCAGAGAGGATCCAGGACTTCAGCAGGCTCAGAGCCTGGTCTCTGGTCCTTACCACAACCGCTGCTCTCAGGGGCCTCGGGCCCCACTTTGAGGCCTGTAGCTTCTGAGCGCATAAGAGTACCCAGCAACCAAAGCCCGCAGAGTTCTGCCCGATGTTAGCCTAGCACTGTTCAACATAAAAGGACACCATCAGGCATAGTCCTTTACACAGATCCCATGCCCTAGTTCTTGACAGCTGTAATTACAGCCCAAACAGCCTTTGAAAGGGAAATTAAAAAAAAAAAAAAAAAAAAAAGCAGCCTGGACTTAGCAGTGAATTGTGAGTTTGGGGTAAGACACAATCAGAGCTTGCTCTTAATGGTAGGCAGTCTAAACAAGCGACTGGACAGCCAGACCAAACAGCTTTCTGGCCAATTAATTTCTCCTTCTAATTTAATGAGCTGCTCATTAGGTGCTGGAAGCAGCTCCCATGAAGGGGCTGCAGAGACAGTACAGGGGCCATGGCCTGGCAGACGATGAGGGAAGATGACGCAGGGCCACTGCAGTCCCCAGTGCCTCCACATCTGCAGAGCAGCCACCCCTCCCCCATGACCAGTCACTCCTGCCTCCAGAGGTGTCCTCCTGAGCCTCTGATCATTCTATAAAGTTGTGTTCCTGCCACTGGCTCCTGTACCAGGGAGATGCCCTGTCCTAGTTCCTTGCTTCCCAGCTGGGATCCTGACTCATATCTGCATCACAAAGAGCCTTCAGAGGAGACAGGCAGCTCAGCCCGTGATGTGAAGCTGAAGTCCACCTGTTAACAACAACCTGACCTAGAATTGTTTAACCTGCTCAATGTTCTATGTCTTTATCTATAAAACCTCACAGCAGGGGCCGGGGATTTAGCTCAGTGGTTTCACCGCCTGCTGCGCAAGCACAAGGACCTGAGTTCGATCCCGGTACCAAAAACCTCACAGCAACATCCTCACCTCATCTAGGGTAGCTGGAAACAGTCACAAAACATCATTTCAATATCAAAACACTTCACAAAGCACCTGACATGTAAGTAGCTACTACTTTTGGTAGCTACGATTTGTAGAGATGTTACTTCCATAATGATAGTGACCTTAGCAACAAAAGATTCTGTCCTTCAGTCACATGTGAATGAAAGAGGGACTTTCCTTGGTGGACATTGAGTGACAGGCCAGCTCCGCGTCCACTCCTTCCTATCCCAGCAGCAGCGATGAGGGCAGCAGCCCTCCTAACAATGGTAACATCCCAGTCAGTCTCTGGACAAGGCCTCTGTACCTGCTTTCTATCCAAGGTAAAAGGAAGAGGAGAAGAGGCCTGGAAATTCTGAACATCAAACCTGCAGTCAAAAGGGTGATAAAATCTGCATGTGTCCCCAAGACCAAGCAGAAAAACCCCTTTCTTGGACTGGGGTGACACTTTACTTTTCCTTTCTGAGCTTCAGTTTAAGCTAGAAAATGAGGCTGACATGATCCTCACCTCCGCAGCTTGCTGTGAACATTAAAGGAAATTACTCATGTGAGAGTGCTTTAAAACTACTTGTTACTTAAGTCCATGATAAATAGTATTGTTGCATTGAACAGTAGTCTCAATAAATTCAACTTAATACTGAAAAAATAAAGCCAGAAGCCTGGGAGGATCAAGTTACTGAAGAGATGATTTTATTAGGTTGATGAACCATTCAGAAAAACAGGAGTAAACATGCTTATCTTCTTTCCCAACACTGCTGTCATTGAATTGAGGTTTCTGCTAATCAGATGAAGAATTGGCTGAAAGTGAAACTAACAAAGCAAAAGGAAATACCAGCATCAGTTCCATGTTTTCTACTTAAGCGAGATTCTAAAGACAAGGAACAATGAGCCCAAACCAGGCTACATCTGGAGATGACAAATCTAGCCATCTCTAACACCTGTTCTCTCTAAAAAGTAAGTATAATACAGTTTACCAATCCCAAGTCTACCTTTAAGATGAACAGGCCTAAGATAATTTCTCCTGTTCCAGTGCACAGAACATGGACAAACTCTTTCACAGTGGTTAGAAGACAATTTGCTTCTTGTCCAATCTCAGCTCTATGTACCCAAGTCAGAAGACACAGGTTGGAACATATGCCAAATGTTCTAGAGAACAAGAAGCAGCAGGAGAAAATGCACACACATGCCCAGAGTCTTAAAGCCACCAATCAATGAAATTTTGTTGAAATCTCACAGTCTTGAAAAATTCAAGTAAGTTTTATAATTCTATACCATAACAAATTGCCTTTTAAAAATATGCTTTGAGTCAATTACCAGCTAATTACTAAGCCCTTCCCCTAACATATTTAAGTCAAAAGGATTCTTCGCCATTCTTGATCACAACCTGGCCAACTGTCACACGTGTACCTCAGTATGTGGTGCCGCAGATTACAAGGGAGAGAGGATGGTACCCTGGGCCACACATCCACTTCAACCTTGGCTCTGAATCGAGACCGACCATCCAATGTGAACAGCCTCCAGGACAGCACAGGGAGAAGAGGCTTGGGGCTTGCAAAGGATGCAGCTGTCCATTTTGACAACTCCAGCACCACCTGAAAAGGCCAGCGGCTAAGACGCTTCAACTGCAGCTGCACACCCCCCCACTCTGACCACTCACCCGTATCCGGCGCATGGCAGCCACAATTTCCACCCTGCTGTTAGGTCTCGGCACATCCAGGCTTCCTACGTACTGTGAGAAAGAAAAGCACACGTTGAGAAGAGAGAGGACAAGTGTCCCTCATCACAGAATGTTAGTGCTTGTTTGGTTGGTTTTTGGTTTTTTTGGAGACAGCATCTCACTATGTAGCCCAAGCTGGCCTTGAACTCATGGCAATTCTCCTGCGTCAGCCTCATGCCCTGCTTTTTAGTGCTGGAGAGCGTTGGAGGTCACCAAGTTCATCTCCCCATTCTACAGATGAGGAAATTAAAAGCCAAAGGGTATTTGAGATTGTTTCTAAAATTATAAAAAGCAACTTAACCAGAAATTACTGTTTCCTTTTTATCTTGCTTTTAATCAGAGAGGTAGCAGAACACTGTGTTTAACCAAGCAAGCTTCAGAATCAGAAAGACTCCCACCATTATTTTCATGGCAAGGCACTTTGCCTTTCTTTGACTCAATTTCCTGCTCTGTAAGATTAAATGAATTAAAATCTATTACACAAAAGTACTTGGCAAACATTAATGCACCTTAAAAAAGAAAGGATTACATACTTTTTTAATTAATGGAACTGTTAGCCCTGAACATATTGGAGTCCTCATATATTTGAATAAATCCCTGATTGGGGGAAAAGAATGGACTAGATTTTTTATTAAAAGTTTGACCTGATTATACTTTTAAATTATTTTTAAAACCAAATTACATGCAGGTTAATGTTTAATATGTAAGTACTTTCCTGTTGTAAACTATGCAAATAATGTAGAAATATGCAGAGCAAAAGAATAAAGTCCTCACTCTTGACAGCTCAACACACATCTCTTTTTGTGTCCTAATGGACATTTATTCACTGACACAGCAGGGATTTTTTTCTGTTAAAAGGCAAAAAGGTTCACATTATGTTCTTCTGCAACTTAGTTTTTTGGGGTTGTTTTGGGTTTTGGTTTTTTGAGAGAGGGTCTCACTATGTAGTTCAGTCTGAACTTGAACTCACTATGTAGCCCAGGCTGGCTTATAGGCATATACTACCACACTCAGCTTAGTTTTTGACTTTACAACTTGGGCATCTTTCTGGGCCGCTGTTGACAGGTCTATCACACTGCGTATCATGGCTCCCCTACTTAGGGACACTTCACACTGCATCATTATGCTTCTATGGACTGCCTCATCGATGTATCTTTGAGCTCATCCAAGCTGCTCTTTATGTTAGATTCCTAGAAGTGAGATTGCTGAATCAAAAGTACAGATAATTTCTAAATATCACTCCATACGAGGATAAAAGAAAAAAAGAGGACAACCCAACATTCATTAAGTATGTACGATGGTGGTTCCTTCAAACACATTACCGTGTTTCGTACTGACCCATTGAGGTTTGTTTTTCCTATCTACCCGTGAACTACATAAGATGGTCCAAGAGATAGGCATGAAATTAACAGCTCCAGAATAACTTACTCAACTACTCAAGCAAGGATTACATTAGTAGGGGAAGATAAGAATAGGACAATCATCCAAGCAGGAAAGGTATTTCCTGTGGTTATAGGAAAGCAAAGATTTTCCCAAAATTTGGAACAAAGGTCTGACCCCAGTGAGGAGGGCTTTGATCCTAAACACTGCTAACAGTGTTCACCTACTACCAACATCAGTCTGTGCTGGAGAATGCACTTCTGAGCAGCCTGTGAGCTGCCTGGCAAGCAGCAAGCACAGCATGGTTTGATCTCCAGGGCAATAGCCCCAACATGGCATATGGGGAACAACCTGCTATTGAGAAAGGGCCTTGAAACTGGACAAGGTGAATGAGTATATCTAGTAATACGATCAGACTTCATTTGGTTGACCCCCCCCCCCCCGCCGCCAGGTCTGCTGGGGCAGCACAGTCTGTCAATACGTCATTGACCCACATAGACAGGAAAGCCCTGAGGCCCCAGTTCGTGACTGCCCAACTCGAAAGGCCCTCCAGCCCAGGGGGCAGTTTCCATGCTCGCTCTCCTGCACACTGCACAACAGAGGGCACTGCACTGCCCTCAACTCAGTGCAGCCAGGAACCTGAGCCTTGGGGGGCTGATGTTCCCCCCAGCACCACGAGAGGGCTGGGACCTCAGGACCCAGCAAGGTCACCTGTTACAGAGAAGCCTTTCCACGCTGCTCCCTGCTGCCCAGTGGGATCCAGGACTGAGCCTGAACACAAACACCCAAAAGAGGACCCCCTTGTTCCCCCCATCTCTCCCTCCTCAGGGAGGGGCACTGCTAGACTAAGAGTGCTGAAGCAGCCTGGAAATGTGGAGAGCACAGGGAGGACAGAGGCAACACAGATGCAGAGCAGAGGTGGCTTTCCAGCTCCTCACTCGATTCCCTAACAGTGTGGGCAGAGCTCTGCACATGAAGAGCTCGTGTTAGGATGCCAGCACTTGCAGCCTCCAAGTGCCTACCTCGCTACATCGACCCCACCCAGGCTAGTAGTGTGCACACACACCACACACCTCTACATACCCTCGCTGTACATATGTGTTCAGACACCTTATGTGCCACCCTCTTCCCTCGCACTGCACACCCATGAGCACATCATACTCACACCACACTCTTCTTTCTTCCCCCCTTCCTCCCCAATCACAAGAAGACAGTCATGAATCTGCCCTTTTGAGAATCCATCTCCACTAACCCAGCTCCACTAGATAGCACTTCGGGGGCTTCCAAGGAGATTAAAAGGATGTAAGCAGGTCTACTTCTCCTAGACAAGAACTAACTGTCCACATTACCATCATGAATCAAAAACAGAACCACAATGCAGGAAGCAGAGCAAAAGCCAGAAAGCCATTTCTTGAGGGTAAAACCAGAGGGTGACAGTGAATACACCTTCCTATACATGCGTACCACTACCACAGAAGAGTATCTCAGTAACCATTACCACCTCCACAGCTAGCGTCAGTCTATCCCTATCTTGAGCAAAATGTGAGAGACAGTGCACGATCAGCCTTGCTCCCAGAAGGGTGGTCTATGCAGTTGTTCTATTTCAGGGGTCAGACTCCATGCCTTTCCCAAGATAAACCACACCTAACCTGGCTGCCTCCTGCTTCAGATTGGAAAGTTTGTTTTCAGACTTGAACCTCACCCATTTCTGAGCTAGCAACCTTTAGAGACAGAGACTTCTGTCACTTCCAATAGAGATGGGCCAAAACCAATTCCATGCCTTCAGTCAAAGGCAGAGGTAGGTTACTGTCAGAAAGGGCTTTGCTTTTACTGCCTCTTCCACTGATACTGAGCTCTAAGAGTTCCTGGAACAATCAAGGTCAGTGGTCAAATGCCTGGTAATTAAGAGGAATAATTCCCAAAGTGGGCACTCATGCTCTCTTCTTTCCATCTCCCACGTCACATTCTTCCTTTCTTGTGCTAAGTAACAGCTAATACTGGTGACAGGGACCTGTCAATTCTCTCCACACACACCTCCACCCCTGCATCTACACCACTACTACCTGACCCCAAAAGCCTTTCTGTCTCCTTTCATCCATCCAGTGGCCTCCTCCTTGGTTTCTCCACTGCTGCTGTGGCCTCTCCAAACCATTCTCCACAAGGCTGCCAGTGATCTCCTTGAAATGCAAGTCAGATCATCTCACTGCCTTGTTTAAGAACCCCCCTTGCTTGTTTCCATCTGCTCTAAAAATGACAATCAAAATCCTCAGCACAGCCTACACAGCCTGCATGGTCCAGCTTCATTTCATGCCAGTGGCCACTCCAATTATGTAGAAGTTTCTCCAACACACCTTTTCTCCTCACACCCAAGGGCTTCTACACTTGCTCTTCCCTGTGCACAGAACATTCCTGTTCTACCTGCCCTCCCCTAATGCTCATCAATCTCCATCTCCCCTTTGCTGCCTTCTAGGGAAGGTGAGATGCCGACAGGAAGGACTCCTGTAACTCTCTACTGGTCTCTTTCACAGCATCAATACACAACCAAATACATGTTGTATTCAGCACTGGCTGACCATATCCACCACAAGTCCAAGCACAAAAAAGATGCTCAAAACATTTCTGACTGACTGGAATCCTCCAAGAATGTTCAGGGGAAGATCTCTACTCCAAGGAGGAACAAAAGGAGACCTGAGGTCTGGATTTGCCTGGTCTTTGGCCACTGGCAGCATTAGCCTGCCTCTTCTAGAGTCGACTATGTGTAGTCCTGTTGTGATTCTACAAATGTACCTGACTTTTATGCAGGTACCTGAATTGGACATAAGCTAGGAGCTCTTATAGTAGCACACGCAATTCCTGGCTTACAAAGAGATGATTAAACCTTTCTGTTGGTAGATTCTTAATCACCTGGCATTCTGTATGACATCTACAGCCTTCCTGTGTTTGCCTTCCAAGAATCCCAGCTGTGAGACAGCACACGGGGGCTCTATTCAGAACATCTACCACAGAGCTGAAACAGGAGAATAAAGTAAAAGAGTTTTTTAAATGCTAGGGCATATTAGATTTTCATTAATATCTAGAATGTATAAAAGATGCAAACTGGTTAATCAAGATAGGAGGTTATTCGTTCTATTTGTGGCTTCATTTCCAGATAAGCAGGAATTAACTGCATAAAGTATTAACTGACAGACTTGAAAAATTTTTGTAAGTTTCTGGACAACCTCAGCTTCAGAACTGGGTGAATCTTGGCACTAGTGTTTTCATTTTTCTTGCATCCACCCTATTTTCCAGCAATTAACCTCTGAAAACAGTGATAACTGAACTTCAGTGCCTCCTGGTATGTGAATTGTACCACAAAATGCAGAAAGAACCACTTGAAATATTCACCAATAGAACAATCAGCACCCGTAGACTTTTGACTGTCTTCCATCACTTGCCTCTGGGGACTCCCTTTATTTGCAATGGTTCTGTCAGATGTTTCCAGAGACAAGGTGAAAATCTGGATAACAAGCAAAGGTAAAGGCATCAGATGATTCTGCCTGTGATAAGGCTGGAGTAGCTGGTGTCAGACTAAGCCTCCCTCAAAAAACAAACAAACTCTGAACAAGGTATAAAAAGTAACTTTGTGTGGAATGTAGGACATAAAGAGTGAACAAATAGAAACTACTGGTGTTAGTTATCAACAGTGTAGCATTACTGGCTCATCAGCTGTAACAAATGTAACACATTAATGTTATCAATAGAGGAAACTGGGAAGGGGGAGACAGTACTTCTGTCCTTGCCATTCAATTCTTCTGTAACCCTAAAACTGCTTTTAGAAATAAAGTATATTAGTTAAAATAATAGTAATATCTTTGAAAGTCCTAGAGAGGGCAAAACCAGCCAGGATTGGCAGATAATCGACTCTGGAAAGAAAGGAGGGGCACTAAATGACACGGGTTCTTGCCTGGCAGCACGATCCCCCAAAGGTTAGCAGGTTGACTGGAGTTCAAGTACAAAAGCCACTCTGACAGCCTGGGGAGTCAGACACCAAATTGGGACAGTCCAAGGAGGCTGAAAGTGAGGCCAGAAATCTTCAAGCACAGCCTAGACAGGACAGAGATACCAAGCGGAGCGCCCGCCCTCCCCGCCAAGTCCCCCAGCCAGGATTTGGAGGATCCCTGAACTGCACTGTGCACAGGATATTCAAGGAGGCAGCAGAAGAGAATAGCTGGAAGAACAAGGAAGCCGAGTGGGGATCTTGGCTGCTGCCACTGCAGAGGAGGCAGAATTAGGATTTAAGAGCAGCCAAATTAACTCTCCTTAAGAACAAGAATCTAGGAGTGGTAGCATGCAACTGTAATCCCAGCACTCTAGGAAGCTGAGGAAGGAAAATTGCAAGTTTGAGCCCAGCCTGAGCAACTTAGCCAGACCCTGTCTCAAAATAAAAATGAGCTAGGGATATAGACCAGTGCAAAGGCCCTGTGTTCAACCCACAGTACTACAGGGGGGGAGGAGGAGAAGATGAGGATAAGGGCTAGGATGAAGACAAGGACAATGAAGAGGAGCAGCAGAAGGAGGAGGAGGGATGGAGCCCCTATAAATGGGTACAATATAAAGGTCTCTGGAGCTGCTGCATTCCCAGCTCTTATCTCTTCTCTGAAAACCGCTCAGTTCTTCTGCCTTGCCCCTCAGCATCCGCCACATGAGATTCAGGAGTAAAGCAGTTAGCAGATAGTTAATAGAAGGTGCTAGGTCTCTCCCAAGCTCCCAGCTTCTATATTCTGCCCAACTCTCTCCCTTAGGGATTCCAAACCAGATCTTGTTTCTATTCTGTACACTGCCCATCTCCTTATAGCTACCTGGTCTCCTGGCCACATCGTGTCTTCTCTCCAACATACACACAAGTATAAAAAAACAAAAGCAAAAGCCTGACAGCCTACTTGTGCCTAGAAGTCACCTGCTGTGATGTATCCATATCAGTGAGTCCCTTTACCAGCGCTCTACACTGACACCTTCCAGACACATAAGCAGGAGTCAAGGATTCAAATCCAGAAAGCACTGGAGGAGTCACATTGAAAGTTATTTACAAAAGAAGAATTAAAAAAAGTATATAAAGTATGAGGCCAGGCATGGTGGCGTACACTTGTGATCCCAGCTCTCTGGGCAGAAGGACTACACATCTGAGCCAAACCTGGGTAACTCAGTGACTCAGGGAGTCCATGTCTCACATTAAAAATAAAAAAGAGCTGGGGATGTAGCTTAGAGCAAAGGCCCTGGGTTCAATCCTCAGTAATATGGATGGATGGACAGATGGAGAGATGGATGGATATGATGGATGGATAGACAGACCAACAGGTGAAAGAAAGAAACAAACAAGGGGAGAAGGAGAGAGAGGGAAGGGGAGAGAGAGAGAACTTACCTCAGCCAAGTATCTGCCAGGGCTAATGAATGCTCACTATTATGACCCCGCCTAAAGGGACTCTTCTTCATAGTATCCCATCCCTGTCCTTCCCAGCATAGAACACAGTCTGCCACAGTGGCTCTGCCTGGCTCTCGTGGATTCTGTCTGTCTTCTCCCACAGAGTGTGAGTCCCTAGCGGACTGGGACCTTGTCCTTTCATTCTGTACTCCCAGATCTTAAAACAGGGCCTAGGAGAGGAAGCTCAAATAACTGCTGAATCACTGAGGACAGAGTGGCAGGCAGAGAAGTTAAGTGTCCTGCCCAAGGACACATCTGTTCATGGCAGAACCAGGGCTCAGAACCCGGTCCAGACTCCAGGCAAGTGTCCCTGCTCCAAAGGGAAAGTCCTTCCCTGCCTGCAGAAATGCTCTGTGCGGCAGCTGAGTGTCCTCTGAGCAGGATTATGAATGTGACCTGGGGAAAGTTCTCGGCTCATTTAGCATGGAACAAAGCAGCATTAAGTGCAGCAGGGCAGGAGCGGCCCCAGATTCCAGCGCACACACTCAGCCAGTGACCTTCTGCTAACCGCACAGGGGGAGGGGAGCAAAAAGAGCAAAGTTTCCCCCGTCTCACTCCCACTTCTGGGACGCTTCGTGCTGTACAGGTGCTAAGGTGACAGGGGCCCCTAGGGGTAGGAACCAGGAGCACTCATACCAACATCTACTCCTGGTCTTATTCTCATCTGCAACTGAGATGGAAACTCAGCACGGGCTCCTCCCCCACTCCCACTTGCTCACACACGCTCGCGGCCCAGAAAAGCTCTCAAAATGCTTGAAACGCAGCTGCACAGCACTATTTATTTGTAGCCTAAGAGGAATGAAGCACTTGTATTTCTTCCTCTCTCTCCCAGCCCATCTGAAAAAGGAAGCACTATTTGAAGGCCATCTGATGTGACTGTGTCACTATTGATCAGTAGCTCAGCAGGGCCTTGAATGTGCTAGAGATCACAGCAGAATCTTTCCTACTCCCCAACATTAACAGGCTGGGTGCAAAATAATCAAAATGATCATGGTGATCTATCTTTATGCTAATATCATGTAATTCTTTTAAATGGACAGAGGAGAGAATAGAACCATTTTATGTGCCTGTAGGGAAACTGTCTTTTGGTTCTTTCAGTCTCCGTGAGCAAAAGCTGAGACGAGTTGGCCTGATTGCTCATCTTTCTTACAAGGAGAGAAAAGCAGAGGAGAGAAAAAGCAGTAACACAGAAAAACTGTTCTAGCCTTCCCACTGTTAGCCCTTGAATAAAAGCCTCAGATCTGCAATTAAAGCCTCTGGCTTTGGCACGGAGACAGGTATGAGGCAGTGGTCTGAGCAGGTAGCACTTTCTGCTGGCCTGCCTAGGAAAAAAAGGGAAAGAGAAAATCCATGGCATTGTGAAGAGAAACATTGACAAAAGTTGTGCAATAATTAAATTATCTGTAAAATAACCGGGTAAACCAGAAATGGAGACATAAACAAAGAACACTATGAAATCGATAGGGAAGCTAGATCAACGGCAGAGCTTATGTGGCCTTAATTATCATTTGACCCAACCATTCATTTTCACAGAAGGGACAATTGAGACTTAGAGAAAGAATAAAAATATAGCTTGTGAATGGTAGAATCGGAATGAATGTGGGTCTCCCTCCCCTGCATTGCCACATGGATACTGCAGTAGGAAATAAACAACCACGGTGAATACAAGCCAATGCCCCATTAAGGGCTGGGTCGGTGCATTAACTTCAAATTGAGCAGGGCAAGGGTGCCTGTACACAGACACCCAACTGGTTATGGGGTCAAAAAAAGGAGTGAAAAACTACAAGACTCCAAAATTTGCAGGGACCAGACAGGGGATCCTAACTCCTTCATTCAAAGGACCTTCAGGATGAAACTGAAGGTGTTTCATTATTAAAAATGGAGCAATGACCCCAAAAGAGGGGGAAAAGTGCCTCACTACTGGAGAACAAGGAACTGAAGAAAGAGATGCAAAGGCTCCAGGATGACATTGGAAAGGAATCTCTCATTCTTCACTTAAAGAATGAAGGCATTTGGCCCTGGGCAGCACTAAACTTCTACTCCTGCTCAATTCTAAGTATTCAAACTCGCAAAGCCTCAGTTTTACCAATATCTGTATTACTTACCTGTTAGAATTGTTGTAAGAATCTAAATTAGTTCATACAAAGCAAAGCTTTACAGTTTACAAAAAAATATATTCTGAACGATATGATATTCTTTGTAATATTATGTTCTTGTTTTCTGGGCCAATAAGATCTTAAAGATACAGAATGTGTGGCTTTGCAGTAGTCCCACTTTTAATTCTTATAAACTAATGACTTTGCGTACAGCAAAGGTAATCCAAAATGCTGGAAAGTTAATAGAAGGGCAAAATCAAGAAATTAGTTTCAACAGGCCCAAAGAGAAGAGACAAGGGAACGGCTGAATGGCACTAGTGGAAAGTACCTCGCGTGAGCAGAGCACACAGACTGACCAGTGCTCCCAGTTGCCACCCCTCCTTGGGAAGTGGCTGTGACACGACTCGCGGAACTCACACCGTGGGCTCGGTTTAAGGTAACCACCTTGTCACATTTCTCTCTGTGACTGGGAAAAGTTTCCTGAAGTTTAGGATACAGGGGCCACAGTTATCAGTTACCCTGGTGAATAAAACCCCATGAAGGAATAACATTTCCAGATAACTTGCATGTGCCCATTTAGATATCAAAGTTTTCTATATTTTACGTTTTTTTGATTAAAGTCTTCCTAAAATATATTACGCATTGCCGTAACAGTTGAGATTCTATAAACCAAAATTTGATGTTAATACCTCAGGATTCCACAAAACAATCACATACATCCATTAATGTATAAGGTAAAGATCAGTGATGATCCCATGAGAAATGGCTCCAAAGTACTACTATATCTTTTGAATCCTTAAAGTTAATTTTCAAGATTTTTCTAATACTTACTTCAGCAGAAAGAATGCTAATTATATGTTACACATTCACCTGTCTTTAGCAACAGCTGTCTCCAAATCCTCAAAAAAGTACTAGTTAGACAAACCTGGCAACATATATAAGGGAATATGCACAATGATCAAGTGGAATTTAGTCCAAGAATGAAAAGTTACTCCAATGTATGAAAATCAATTCATGTAATATACCATTTTCACAGAATAAAGACAAGGGCCATATTCTCATCTCAATAGACAAAGAAAATCCGTCTGACAAAATCTAATACCCTTTCATGATAAAAAAAAAAAACACTCAACAAATTGGGAATAGAAGAGAACTTGCTCAACCTAATAAAGTGTATGTATGAGAAACCTACATCATATTTAATGGTGAAAGGCTGAATGCTTTGCCACCAAGATCAGGAATGAGACAAGGATGTCCATTCTCATCATTTCTATTTAATCTTTTTTTTTGGTACCAGGGATCAAACTCGGGTCCTTGCGCTTGCACAGCAGGCGGCGAAACCACTGAGCTAAATCCCCAGCCCCTATTTCTATTTAATCTTGAAGTAGAGGTTCTAGTCACAGAAATTAGGCAAGAAAAGAAATAAAAAGCAGCCAGACAGGAAAAGAAGAAGCAATATGATCTCTACTCACAGATAATATAATCTTATATGCAGAAAAATCCCAAGGAATAATAAATGAATTCAAAATGAAGCTGAGGATTCAATCCATTTACTATAGTGTAAAAAAAAAAAGTACTTAGGAATAAATTTAACAAAATATTTATACATTGAAAAAATTATAAAATAATGATAAGAAATTCAAGGAGCTATAAATCAATAGAAAGGTATCCTATGTTCATGAATTCGAAGATTTAAACTGTTAAAATGCAATCCATTACAAATGGAGATACAGAGTCAATGTATCCTTATTAAAATCTCACCTTTTTTCTTACAGAAATTGACAAGCCAATGCTAAACTTGTGCTTGTGAAAATATAAGGAGTTTTTCAACTAGCAGAAATGATCTTGAAAAAGAACAAAGTTGGGCCAGGGATTTAGCTCAGTGATGCCGTGCCTGCCTCACAAGCCAAGGTCCTAAATTCAATCCCTGGTATGGTGAAAACGAACAAAGTTGATGGAGTCAGACTTTCTAACTTGAAAATTTGCTACATAACTACTATAATCAAAATATTGTGATACTGGCCCATGTAGACATATAGATCAATAGAATTAAATACAGAGTCCCAAAATAATGGTTATGTTTACAACCAATTAACTGTTGTTGTTGTGTTTTTTTTGACATGGGATCTTGTTATGTTGCCCAGGCTGGTCCTGAATTCCTAGCTAAAGCAATTCTCCCACCTCAGCCTCTCAAACAGCTGGGGCTACTGGTATGTGCCACTGAACTTGTCATCATCTGACTTTTGACAAGAGTGCCAAGACAATTTGTTGGATAAAGAATGGTACTTGGGAAGATTGAATATCCACATCCAAAAGAATGAAGTACGACCTCTATCTCAGGCCATATCCAAAACTAACAATGTATCAACACCTAAATATAAAACTCTTAGAAGAAAACATAGGATTTTAGGTCAGGCAATAGCTTCCCAGATACGACACCCAAAGCACAAATGACAAAAGAATAAAATAGGCAAATTATACTTCACCAAAATGAAAAACATTTGCGCTTCAAAGGAGTTCATTGCTAGGAGTGGTGGTGCACACCTGTAACCCCAGCACTTGAGAATCTGAGGCAGGAGAATCGCCATGAGTTCAAGGCCAGCCTGGGCTACATAGTGAATTCAAGACCAGCCTGAATTACATAGTGAGATCCTGTCTCAAAACACAAAAACCCAAAGAAGTTCATTAAGAAAGATCAATGGAATGGGGGAAATATATTTACAAATCATGTCTATTAAGGGATTTGCACCCAGAATACACTCTTAGAATGTGACAATAAAAAGACAAGTAACTTAAATTTAAAATGGGCAAAGGATATGAATAGATACATCTCCAAAGAGATATACACATGGAAAATAGGATCATGAAAAGAGGCTCCAAAATCAGTAGTTATTTGAGAAATGCAAACCAAAACCGTAATAGATTATCATTTCATCCCAGTAGGACCTACTACCTAGGATGGTAGAAGTAAAAAGAATTAAGATGTGTTAAGTGCATACACCAACTCCCCACAATGAAGGTAATCATTATATACTGCAAACATATACTAATAAAAATAAAACTGTAAATTCAAAATAAATAAAAATAAAACACAACAACATGTGCTGGTAAAAATGTGAAGAAATAGGAATCCTCATGTGCTACTAGAGAAAATAGTACAGCCACTATAAAAAACTGTTTAGCAGATCCTCAAAAAAGTTAAACACAGAGTTAACATATGAACCCAAAATTTCACTCTTAGATAAA